GCTTACTCCTTGGTTTCCTTCTCTTTCAGATGGGCTTCACAGGCATCGCTGTTGGTGCTGCTATGGTTTGTAAATTTGCATTCGTTTACTTCTCATTTAAAATAAACTATTTTTATGTAAAAGCATACTAATATATATTTTAATATATTTAATAGGCAGGGTTGAGACCAGTGTGTGAATTCATGACATTCAACTTCTCTATGCAAGCAATTGATCAGGTTATAAACTCCGCTGCCAAGACCTGTTACATGTCTGCAGGATCAATTGCCGTTCCGGTTGTCTTCCGGGGCCCCAACGGGGCGTCAGCTGGAGTTGCCGCCCAGCACTCACAATGCTTCGCAGCTTGGTACGGGCACTGCCCGGGGCTGAAAGTTGTTAGTCCTTGGAGCTCAGAAGATGCCAAAGGTCTGCTGAAAGCATCAATCCGGGATGATAATCCAGGTGAACATAGGCAGATCATAGCAATACCTAGCACTCAATCCTGAAAAGAATGTCTGTTTTCCCCTCCTGCCCCATTTAAAACAAACAAGCAAGATTGTTAAACCCTAAAACACTTAAGGTTGCTTTACTGCAGCTTTAGAGTACTTACAAAGGCACTGAAGTATTTATTCTTTTCCTAATACTCACTTGCCTTGCTAGCAAGTAGACTAATTTTGTGCTGTTGCCAGCTACGTAATCTTTAGTGCTAGTTTGGTACCAGTCAGGAAACTTAGAAGCATTTACGAATCTATCGTAAAGGGGTTAAAAAGGATGAAGAGGAGTCAGGAGGAGTTCCTGCATGTACGGTGTCTTTGTAACTTATTTTTACAAATCGTGAAATTCAAATGATAAATTGAGAATGTCATTAATGAAAAGCAGGGCAACCTTTGTCTTTATTTTTCACAAGCATGCATGCAAAATCAAAGACCTCTGTTAAAACTAGCAATTCTACCGTCATGTATCAAAAATTAAATACCTGATCTCATTTAAGACATTGTAGGCAATTTTTAAAATAATTCAGTATTGAAGTAAAGACTGATAATTTTTTTTTTTTTTTTTGTTAAATTGCTTCCACAAATATTCTTAAGGCCTTGTTGCCTGGATGGGCTTAGTATCTTGAGTCAGTCTGCCGTTAATGATCAGTACGGTCCTGTGCCTGCAGATGCACACATTAATCCAAGTATGTTTTCTTCTAGTTGTGATGCTGGAAAATGAGTTACTGTACGGTGTTCCCTTTGAAATGTCTGAACAGGCTCAGTCAAAGGATTTCGTTGTTCCAATTGGAAAAGCTAAAATAGAAAGAGAAGGTAAGCTGAGAATACAGTTTGTTTCCTTATTCACTGAACCACTTGGGGACTTTTTTTAACCTTAGCTATTCATGATACTGCTGTTGTGAGGCACAGTAAAGTATTTCAAACCTTAAATGTTCAAATGTTATTTTATCCAGTAGTATACTTTATCGTTTTGTTGCCCATATAAGGAAAGAGCACCTGATTCTCTGTATCTCACCTAAAACTATACCCTTCTAAAGGATTTGTTCCGTGGTATAGAGATGGAGTAGGTGATGGCTGAAAAACCTCTTTTCTCATTTTAGTATGCAATTTTTGTCAAAAATGCAAAAAGAGGTCACTGTAGTATTTCAGCCCATTCATTCATAATTTACCACTGAATTATATGAATGTTTGAAAAGGATAATCTGAAAACTATACTAAATATCTCTTCAGTTCACTGAATTAAAGGGTAAAGTTTGTGTCTTAGCATAGACCTTCCTCTACCGCTTTCCATGCTATGTATGGGCATAGAATACTTTGCACTTCAAATAAATGTAAGGAACTTACATTTACAAGAGAATCCTAACACTACCTTGAAAGGAGCTTGAGGTCTAGAAAAAAGCTTTCAGTCTTAAGGGTTTTTTTTTTTCTTTTTCAACACTTGTTTCTGTTCTAGGAACTCATGTTACATTAGTGTCACACTCAAGACCTGTTGGACACTGTTTGGAAGCAGCTGCTGTACTTGCCAAAGAAGGTGTAGAGTGTGAGGTAGGTGAAGAT